GAACTGCCTCTCGTTCGCTCTTTACACCGAACCGACCGACCCCCCGTTTTATTCCCGGTATGGTTATTTTCGGTACGGTTATTGAAGGGCGGTGCGGAACGATCGCGGAAGATACCACGGCTGTCCGACGGACCTGGGGCAGCGTCTGAGGACAACAACGGCGGATGCATAGACCTTACCCAAGACGATGTCCCGGAAACTGACGTGGAAGACCTGACCGCCTTGACACCAGCACCGATACCACAACCACCACCACCACCACCATCACCATCACCATCACCGGCGGCAACTCCCGAGACGGACGGAGAGGATGATGGTGGTGACGATGATGATGGTAATGATGGTAATGGCGGTCAAGTCGTGGCCGCGGACCAACAGCCAGGTAGCCAATTATCCCCAGCACCCTTGTACGGGAAACCCCCCTATTCTGCCACATCGTTCTCTTGCCCGCAAATTCACTACTGTACTAAGTATTACCCCCTCAATGGGCTCCCAACAATTACCACTCGAGCTGGTGAAGTAGTCTCGATGAACATGCCGGGTATTGTTGTACAGTATTCTCTTCTCTCCCTGGAATGCGTTGAGAATGAAGGGTACAGATGCTGCCATACGCGCAACACCTATGCACATCGTCCGCTCCGCAAGTGCAGATGTCAATGCCAAGGGTTGGCGTTAAGAGTTGGTGGCGGATGGGTGCATGCCGGGACCGCACGGCGAAAGCCGAGTATGACACGCTCGCGCTGTTTGACGATGGGCGTCTCTGGCAGTCATCGTGCTACCAGCCTTTCTCTGTTAGCCCCGTGAATCTGAACTTTGTATTCGACCCTGTTCGAAAATGTTGGCATCATTATTGAGATATTCACGTTGGTATCCGAAAGGTCATCAAAACGAAGTGCTAGCACATTGGCCAACGCGCTGTAGTGAGCCGTACTCCACTGATGCCACGTGTTCCCCGCGGTTCCCGAGAACTGACCTGGGGCTGGCAAACGCCTGCCGTTGATCCGTGTACCATGTGCGTGTTTAGCTCCAAGGCCAAAGGGCAAGGGAAAACGCGCGGCCAATCCCGATGACGATAGCAGGCTGGAGCTCGAGGAAGAGGAGGAGGAGGAAGAAGAGCTACCAGACTATCTAGAGCAGCAGCAGCAGCAGCAGCAACAGCAACAGCCGCAGCAGCCGCAGCCGCAGGAGGGGGAAGAGGAGGAGGAGGAGGAGGAGGAGGAGGAGGAGGAGGAGGAGGAGGAGGAGGGGGAAGAGGAGGAAGAAGAGGAAGAGCTACTAAACAACCAGGAGCAGCAGCAGCAGCAACAACAACAGCAGCAACAGCAGCAACAGCAGCGGCAGCAGCGGCAGCATCCGCAGGAGGAGGAGGAAGGGCTCCTAGGCAGAAAAGAGCAGGAGCAAGAGCAGGTACAATATGAAGTCAAGCGATGGACCCGCTCTCCCTGCTGGTTTAGTTCCTTCTCGTTTGATGGTTCCATTTTTGCCGAAACTTTCGTGCTTTCCGTGGTCATGAAGGGTGGTTTATTGCATGATATGGGGCTGTTGTCGTGGTCTTTGTGTCGCAAACGCATCCTGACCTCCATTCACCATCTCCTCTTCCAAGAAATCCCGTGGTCACAGGCACAGGCACACCCAAGGTTAGTCAAACCAAGCAAGGGTTTGGCGAAGGAAACCCTTTGTATACCTAAGGCTCCCATGTCTCGTGAAAAGCGAATAAGATATTGGAACACAATTGTTAAGGGCAACGTATGCATACAGTAGGGCGGAGAAACCCAAACATGAAAAGAGAATGGAGGGGCTGTGGTACAGTATTCGTAAATTACAAGCACAAGACTCGAATACTGTGGTAGATGTGCCAGAACCTGGACGCTACGAAGTGCAACCGGCAGAACTGTCGCTGTCTATCCTCACACACCTATGGTACATATTACTAGGTAGCCGGCGAGAGTTCGTCGTTTGTTCCCGCCGACCGGGCTGCCCCCACCTGAAGGCGTGAAAACGTAAAAAGGGCGTTACGAATCAAGGAAACACCATACTTTCACGTTCTGTATCTAAAGCAAGGGCTGTTCAGAGGCCCCCTACGAGAACAGGATTAAGGTGCGTGTCCAATGCGCAGGCAGCCAGTCGGACTGTTGCGTAGGGTTGGCCCCATCTGGCACCCCACGACCCCTCTATCTAATGGATGTATTTTGTACCGCCGAAGCGAGATTTCGCGTCTTGTCTCGACACAACAAAGGAAGGCCTTTCAAACCCATTCTTTGCTTTTCGAAAACGTCGAACAACTTTCTTTCGGGACGGTTTGGCGGTTGTCGCTGCCCGTGTCGGTGTGACTTGTCCTTGTCCTCAGTTGCCCGTACCGTACCGTACCCTGCTTTCGTTCCGCAATGATGTTGCCTTACCATCTTACCGTCGGGGTCCCTCCATTGGGTGGGCGGTACACGGCGGGTGAAATCGCTTGGCACGGATAAGAGCAATCAAGTCGTTTCGTTTCTCTTGTGAATAGGGCGCGTGCCCCTGTAGGGATAGGGCGGTCTGGGACTTAAGTTACCCTAGGGGGACTTCGACTATACTACTATACCCTTGCCGCCCCCTCGTGTTATGTTTAGTATTTTTGGTTACTCTGATACTTCGCTCAACCTTGGTCCCGGTCAGGAGCAGGAGAAAGGGCCCCGCGACGAGGATAAAGGGAACGATGGGGGGGGGCAGGAGGGAGGCGAGGATTCCGAGAGGGGGCAAGAAGAGGAACGGGACCAGCAGGAACAGGCACTCAGCAGGCCAGTCCCCCGGGTTTCGCGACTGTTGTTGGCATGACCGGCTTTTGCACGGCTTGGGTATCGAAAGGAAGGGCCACGATTTCGAGGGGGCGTGTTTGAGTTTGAGAGTTTGCAACTGCAGTGAGAGCTACCGTCTGTCGAACCGAATGGTTTGCTGCTACTGCACCGTGTGTGTCAACGGCTTGGCTCCGCAGCAGGTTGGGCATTGTCGAGCGGGGGATGGGTTCAATATCCTGCCCGGCTACCACGAAATATCAACGTACTGATGCTGATAGCAGTGGCAAGAAGACTGGTTGTACGAGTATTTGTGTTCGGAGTGTGTTGCTTCAGTTGCTGCTGTCATGAAGTCAATTGTTTTTCAACGGGTGGGTGTTTCGCTTGTAGTGAAATATCCCAAGTCTGGGCAACTGCGTATTTCGGCTCACGAGGTGTTTCTCTGGTCGGCAACACCCCCTCCCCCCTAATGTAGTGTCCAGCTTGTTGCTTGCACTATGTAGCTAGCCTTTGGTAGCAAAAGTTCGAGATCCTTGCCGCAGTTGGCCTAGACCTACGGGACAGGATGACGACATGAACTATGTTGAGAGTGGACATTTTTTTTCGCACATGAGACATGACGCGTTACTCACAAACTTTTCTTCAGTGTGCGTATTGTTCAATCTGGACAAATTCTCAAGGGCCTGTTGTGAAAAGGTCTCTGCTGGTACATGCATATTATTTTTTTTCTTCGTAAGGCCTTCGTTTCGGGTTGTCGACGGACTATGGTGTATGTGGCGAAGGAAGCCAAGGTCAATAACACGTCACGTTCAGCATGGAAGCGAAACACGACCGTCGAACGCATCGATATCGACGTTGTTGTTTCAATCAGACCGCCGGGTGGAGTTGGTGGAGAGGCGCCTCGTAGAGGCGTTGCTGCGGTTTGGGAGGCGGTCAGGTTACCGCCGCCGCCAACCGACGAAAGAAGCCAGAGAGGTAAGTGCTCTTGTTCTTCTTCCACCCCTCGCACGCATTCCGAATTCTGATACAACTTGTACCACCACTACCATTTCTTGAGGACGACAGCTGTGGCAGCAAGAGGAGATGGTTGGATGTTTTTGAGGTATTTGGTGGTGACGAACGTGCACCTTGGGCAATAAGGTGTGGTTGCCGCAGTCCAGCAGCTGTTGCTCCTGCTCCTGGGCAGGCTCCGCGTAGGAAAGGGAACGAATCCTCATCGTATGTACGTGGCGGCGTGCTCTGCTCCGCGCCGTTTGTATCGGTGTTGAAGTAAATATTTCCGAGTCCTTCGTGTACCTACTGCATATTTCCCGCTTGTGGCTTGCTCGTTCCATTTTGATCTCGCCCCACACGGGTTAAAGTTTGGTACTTACCTTGATCTGGGGTCTGTCCTGATAATAGTGGCGGTTACCGTCAAGAACCGGGTCATACCGTCAACTGTGTTCGCCAAATGAGTGTTACCCTCCTTGCAGCGGGCAACCACCGTATTTTCGTAGTCCTCGACCTGTAGAGGCCCCAACCAAACCATTAGACTATAATAGTTTGCGCTGACTAACTAGTCTATGGCTTTGTTTCGGCTTCTGTTGACCGCCTTAGGTCAGGACCTCCACTATATCACCTTTTCACAGATACACATGACTGACCCTCCACTTGCCGTCACGTCCAGGCAAGAAGAGGAAGAGGAAGACTGAACAGCCGGAGGCCGGTGTGGTGCTCAAGGTTCACGTGTCTAACTTCATGTGCCACAGGAAGCTCTCCGTTCCACTTTGCAAGTGAGTTTCTTTTCTTTTTCTTTGTATGTATACTACTGTACCACTCGACGCTTTCCCTGCCTGCCTGCCTGGCACCCTCTCTCTGCGTATTGAAAAAGCTACAGGCTTTTGTTCCAGTGGCAATTGAGTGCTTTGTTGTTGTTGTTGTTGTTGTTGTTGTTTTGTCGGTTTGGGGTTATTATATTTTTTTGTGTGGAGGAAAGTATTGATCGCCGGAGCATAAGCCTAAGAAAACACTGCAGCAGCAAAGTCTGCAAGCCAAGAGCTTGGTTAACGTGCAAACTTTGCATGCCACAAGCGATAGGATGGAGTCTTACGTATGAAAACATGCTTAAGATTTTCTCTTGTTTCCGTCCCGTTTATTTTCCAACATCGGCGGGATACGGTACACCTTGCGGTATACCCTACCGTATGTTTGACGCACCACCCGGAGTCGCCCAGGGGAATAGGATTGGTCTCCTGCCAACTGGTACGTACCAGCCTCATTACCCTTGCTCTTAAAGTGCGTGTTGTTGACTCGGAAGTCTGGCTCATAAACGTTGTTGTTTCTCTTCTCGCGACCAGGCACGTAAACTTCATCAACGGACGTAACGGTTCGGGAAAGTCGGCCATCCTCGCAGCGCTGCAGATCTGCCTCGGAGCAAAGGCGCACCTCACCCACAGGGCCAAGAAGATGGCGGACTTCATCAGGTCAGAGTCCAAAGTTTAGGGTTAGACCTCGCCCGCGCGGATATTGGTGCACCGTGTCGGCTGCGCTTTGGGCAACCTGCGTCGCACCTTTCCGCTAGTCCTAAGTGTGTCAATGCTGTTGTTTCTGTTTTCTCTGAGCCTGGGTGATGATCACACTGCTGTTGTTTCTGTTCGCTAGAAGCATGGGTGGCCATGACTCTAGCACCATCGCCAACGAGACCGTATCCTGTCCCTGCCATACGTGTTCTACCTGGTACGATATTGGTACTATCATGTACTTGTAGTAGGTCGAATGCGTTGCTCCTCAATGGCCAGTGCTCGAAGCTTCGTTGTGCATCTCTGGGCTCAAATATGTTGGTGTGGAAAAAGAAGGCTGCACCAGGTCGGGGTCGAAAAGAAAAGTGGCCGCGTGTTTCGCTCCCAACGGCATCTGGTGCGTCAAACATGTACCGATTTATGGAGACTGATCTAGGAATACGCGGGACGGAAGCCACAAAGAAAGTATCACACGGTGGGGGGTACGGGGGAGCTGGCTGACATCTGCGCGTTCCTCTCCAGGTGTTGATGCATCGCGCTCTGGTTGTGTCCTTTAATTGTGAGTACGCTTGGTTTGATGTTTGTTTTTTTAGGCACGGTTGGAAGGGAGATGCCGTCCTGGAGGTGACCCTCCTCAACACCGAGCACGGCTTCATGTTCGAGGAGTACGGGGAGTCCATCACCATCAGGAGGACCATCAAACAGCCCAGCGGAGGAGGCTTCGCACTCCTGGGGCACGACAGAAAGGTAACGGGTGCGTGCTTGCCCTGGGCTACTGCTGTCGATCTCGTGTGGCTCCTGTTGTTGGTGCACTTGATTGGTAGACTGCATCGACGATGGCATGCGTTTCGCGCAACAGCTACACTTGGTGCTGGATTTCATCGGGTTTGATGTTTTTTGGGCGAAGGTGGATGCTGGTTGTTTTTTCGTCGTCAAAGGTGTGCTGTGGTGTTTGTTGAGCAAAGAATGGGGGGCTTGTTGTGTACCCGGAACACGCAGAAAATTGTCACGTTCGTATATGAATACCGAACTGCTCTTCTGTTTGGATTTGCATTTGGAGAGAAGTTTTTTGTGGTGAGCAGTTTGCGGCAATGTGCTCATTTCACCGTCTACCTTACGCTTGTGTTGCGATTTTTGTTTCGACTTTTTGAAATTCCTCATATTGATCAACTATCTGTCGCTCGCAGTGTCTACCTGTCTTCAGCCTTGCTTCCTTTGTTGAGAAGCTCCTCCGGGTTGGCACAGAAAAGTCTCACTGTGGTAGTTGCGTTACATGTTGAAGCAACGGTTCACCCGTCCTTTCCTCTACGGCGTTCATTGCCCCCATTTTGCTTGGCGAAAGACGCCTTGGGTAGCTAAGCTTGCTTGAATCACCTGCTGAAGCCGTATTCAATTAGCCAGCGCGTGCCAAGCGTGGCCTCGTACGTGAAGCTACTCCAGCCATTGCTCTTTGCGTGAGCTGCCGCTGTAGCGTACGCACAAGACGCGGACATTGTTAATTCTGGTGCTTTGCCACATGAGCTCTAACCAATCTCTCGGACCTGCGACCGTTCACCCCGGTATTGGCGCCCGCTCCGCTGCTTACCTGACAACTCTACCTACTCTACTCTGCATGTCACGTGTCAATAAAGGTGAAGTCGACAAACAAGGCGGAGCTCCTCAGGATGCTGGAGTTTCTCAACATCCAGGTGAGCGATGTCTGTTTCTGTTCCCACTATTTACCTAATATGGATGCAAGGTTGCGGATATACTGTAGAGCAGCATTTCTTAGGCTTTGATGATGTCATGCTCCGAAGTGTAGTACTCAACTCACCTCGCTCGGTCGTTCACGCCGTGTGTTATTGCAACTTGTTGCTGGTGCCGGCTGGTATTATGTTATAGGTGGACAACCCCGTGGCGGTCCTGGACCAGGAAAACTCTAAGAAGTTTATCTTGGGAACCGAGAAGGACAAGTACGAGTTCTTCCTAAAGGCCACAGACCTCGGTCGCATCTCGGACGTGAGAGAAGAGAGAAAGCATGCAGGGTTGTAGAACTTCGAGATATTCTGGCTGGATGGACTGGAATACGTACGTTTGTGCCTATTTTTGCGAAATGCGCTCCGGAAGAAGCGCATCGTGAGAGCGTACGTACGTACTACCATAGCTGGCTTCCTATCGTTGTTTGCGGCAGTACGGCGAAGATTTTAGGGTAGGAGTTTTCGCAACGCGGTGTGTGTCTCACGTGTAGGATGTTGTGACGCCGGTGATGACTGACTACTGCATGTAATGTGCACGGTTTGCGGTGATGTATCCTGGTACCTGAGGTTCGTTGTTGCCGTTAGGGTAGCCGCAACCGCCGGCAATGCGGTGGCGACATTTTGACGTTGGTTCTTCGAAAATGTTGGCATGTTCAACAGCAACAACTTCGGGTGCCGTGCATGCAACCGACACGTGATGGGATGGGGCAGACGGAAAAATTGCCAGTACTATGCTACAGCGCACGCTACAACGTAGGAACCTGGGAGTGAAGAAGTTCACGGTAAGCCTTATTAGTCAAGAATCCTTCACTCTTTTTCTATTTTATTTTATGTTGGGATCCCACACCCCACAGAGGAAAGAAGACACGAGCCTGGAGCCGAAGAAAGGTTGTCAGTATAGCATACACGATGTTTTTTCGCTTTGACCAATCTATGTACCCGCGGTGTATCCCTTGTCAGTATATTGAGGAAGCGGGCGAGTATATCACCAAGATGAAGAACGGCTCCGACGCTGCCAGCCATCAGTACCGCAGGTGTGGCTTGGCTCGAGAGAGAGAGAGAGAGAGGTGTAACGTTAATGTGTTGATGCGTATGGTTGGTTATCCCCCCGTAGCTCGCTACTGCAACGCTTGTGCCACTACAGTATGACGGCCGAAGTGAAGCTTGAAAGGGCTCGTGGTTTAGACGTGGTCATCTATCGATTCCGTACCGCTCGGGCTGTGCTTGGTTGGATGTTGCCTGTATTGTAGCAGGTCACCGATTACATACGTATCTCGTCCCTGTGGTAAACCCATGGCCTTTCTATCCTGCGGTTCTTGGGCTGTGGTATGGCCAATGGCCTATGAGGACGTTTAAAGCTGGATCGCCTGCATTGGATTTTCGTTGTCGCGACCCCCGCCACCTCAGGAGCAAGGATCGCATTAGTGCCCTCAAACACGAGTACAAGGCCTTCCAAGAGCTGGAAAAGCTCGAGAGGACCATGTGGGCCATTCAGGTGAAGCTACTGTCAACCAACATGACATACTGCACAACTGTTTTTTGTCCAGGTTTAAACCCACCCAAGCGTTGGACCGAGAACTTCTTTTGTCGTGCTCGGTTCGCTGGCGTCTCGTGCCGAGGTGCCCAACGACGCACGGCAATCACACAGTTGATGCTGCACGTATACAATATCTCTCGCCGAGAGGTGTCCTACGAAACTCCAGCAGCGGGCGTTTCATGCTTCCTTCTGCTCGGCTTTGGCTTGTGGGATTTTTTCTGCAAACCAAGGGACAAGGACCAGACTATTGGAGCGCATTTTTCCCTTCTCGGGGCGTATCTTGTAGAAGTACTGAATTTTGACGTGAAGGAAGAACCCCCCCTTCTCGCACTTAAATCGCGGGGCACTTGCGGATATTTCGGGAGAAGATATTCCCGGTGCGATTCGCTGACATCGATTTGACTGCCCGCCTGCGACGGCTGTGCGTTCCGCAGGAGCACATCGAGTGGGCGGTCGTATCTGCTGCGGAGGAGAAAGTGAAGAAACTTCGCCTCGACACCACGGCCAAGACCCTCCTGCGGGATAAGTGAGCAGCAGTATCATAGCGCAACAGCTGGTTGGTGGTGACGACATCTCGGAGCCAAAACATGGGTGCTTCCGTGTCCCACCGTTTGGGTGGAATCTGGAAGTGTTCCATTGTGTTCACCTTGGTTCTGAACTTTGAAGACGAAGACAAAAGACACTGACAAGACCAACAAAAACACGCACAAAGAGCTCGTTACAGCTCGAGATGTACCGTTTTTGTCGGTGGGTTTGATCTTTGGAGAGAGGGGTTTCAGTGCACGAAACCGCGCGAGAGGCTTCACGCCGCTCTCCTAGCCTTTACCCTTTGCCGCTGGCTGGCCTTTACTGCTTTCCTCTTTCCTTCTGCCCTCCGCTAAAATCCATGTGTTGGGGTAAACAGTAGGCCGAGTGTTTTTTGCCTCGAGTGCTAAGCTAACAGACAGGTCGAGGCGGTGTTTGGTTCGAAAAGGTTCCACGTGATGCAGTGCTGGCGTTGGCTTGGTCGCACGCAACTGTAGTCTGGCGCAAGGGCATCGGAGGAACGAAAGCACTGACGTTGCGGTTCGTCGTTTGTTCCTCCTGTTGTTGTTGTGATGGCGATTTTGGCTCCCAAGGCTTAACGAGAAAATCGCGGAGTTCAACAAAGAAATCGCCGACACCGAAGCTCGCAAGCTGGAGGTCAATGCCCGGTTAAACGCAGGAGTGGTGAGAGAAACAACGCACGGCCGTAATTTTTTTGTCATATTCTTATTCTTTGGTGTTTTGGGGTTCCCAGAGACAAGGGTCAGTTGTCGCTGTGGCAACGTTGTGCGTCCGACGCAATTGTTGTGATAGTATGATATGCGCCACGTTTTTTTTGTGGCCCCGGCTGACACGTCAAGTATAAACCGCACGGTGCAGATGGGGCTAGAGTAGATGGGATGAAAAGCACAAGAACTCCCTACTTTTCTGTCACAACTAGGAAGGTGTTGGAGGCCCGCTTGAAGTGGTCGAAGAGGACGGTGGCTGCTTCTTTGGTGTTGCGCTGGGGACGGCTGCTCTCGTGGTTGTTATCGCCATCGTCATGGTTGTTCTCGTTGCCTCTGCATCAGAAGGAAAGCCTTTGCCGACACCTCGAATGACGAAGGCAAGATCGATTGAATTCCGTGAGCCTGATTCGCCACGAACGACGTTCACGACGCTTTGCTTGGACCCATGTATTCAACAGGCCGAAACCGCTAGGCTTAAGCAAGTGCTCATCAAGGCGAAGGAGGAATTTCGAAAGGCGGAGTCGCCTCTGCGGGACCTACGGACGCAACGGACCTCCCTCGAGACGGAGCGAAAGGACAAGATGAGTGAGTTTTGGTAGATCTGGTGGTAGATCTGGGAGATGTGGCGATTACCCTGGTAGAGGTGGGTAGGCGTCGCTCGCGAGACGGGGCGAATGGACAAACGTTTGTGAGTTTTCGTAGATCTGGTGGGAGATCTGGGAGATCTGGTGACGCCTAAAACAGATCTGGGTAGGCCTCGCAGTCCTCAAAGAAACATGTTGTGTGTTGTTTTGATTGGACGTGGTTGCTTGGAACAATCATGAAAATAGGTTTGAGTACGCGGGCCTGGGCCAAGGCAAGCGGTGTGTCTTGCGCTGAACGCTGCCATTTCATGCGCCTCTGACCGTCTATCATACATCTCAGCAATCATGATGAGATGGTGACGGGGTTGCGAAATGAATCGATGGAAGCGCCATCTTGACCCAAAGGATATCCCGCGCCCGTGGCGTGTCGCATCTGTCCTCGTTGGTTTCTAGAGGCGAAAGATGCACTGTCGAGGGATCTCAACCTTGCAAGGGAAGCGGCTGTGAGGGCTGCAACGGACGGAGAAGAGAGGCTCTTGCATGAGAAGATACAGGAGGTGGGCAAAACGATGATTGATGTTCGTCGCTCAGGTAGACCTTGCGGCACTACAGAAGTACGTTCCGTGGCATTGTTCGAAAACCTAGGTCAGGTCAATCTCTGGGCTGACACGTTTTACTGCGTGCAACGATTCTCGAACGCTGGGCTTAGCGCCATCAACCTGATCTACAAGCGAGGCTACTCATGCGCCCACCTACCTGTTGTGCTCATAGGATTGGCTACTGTTGCACATCAATGCGATGGATACAGCGGAGATTGTGGGCACAGGAGCTTTTCGCTCGAACACGGGTGCCCCCAATCTCAGACGAAGCTTGTGTCCTACAGCCCTGCGTCGCCGATTCCTCTTCTGTATGGCTCGTGCTGTCACCCAGTCGCGTTTCGTGGTGATGTTGCTGCTTCTTGTTTCGCGTACACAACAACTTTAGGACCTCCTACGCTGTGTCAACCCCGACCTATCAACGCACCGCACTGTATTTGTGCTCTACGGATGCTTGGCTGTTTCTGCCGCAATCACGGAACCTTCGAAATCATTGAACCCCCTGAACCCCAGGCGGATCATTCGCTGGCCGGCGTGGGCCATCAGCAAGCAAGCAGGGGCGGGGAGGAGTATTTGTTCGAGCTGCGTAGGGCGGCGAATCAGGCGGAAGAGATGGCCCACAAGGCTAAGGAAGAGCTTCAGGCTTGCGACAAGGTTGGGATGGTTGTGTTGTTTTGCTAGGCTCTTGTGGCAGTTTTTTTTCCTTGTGGCTCTGCTGCTGCCGGTGTCAGTTGAGGTGACGTCTGGTTGTTGTTGGTGGTGGTGGTGGTGCCTTTTATGTGTATGACCGATGGTTGTAGGACTATTCTCGACACTTCCGTGCTTGTTCTATCAAGGGGACCGGTGGTCCGGATCGTGAGAAATACGCGCGTTTTCCGGAACCGCTCTCGCCGGTAGATGGCACCGTGACAAACCCGTTGCTGTTCACGACATAAACAGGATGTCAGGTCACGCCAAGCGGAGGCGAACCGGCTGCAGACGGAGACGTTCAACCCGCTGTCGGCTCTCGGGAGTCACATGCCGGCCTTGGTCCGCAGAATCAGCCAGAACGCCGACAAGGTAGGGTACCGGTTTCGGGTGCATACATCCACGGATCCCCCCCCCCCCCCGAGATACGACCTGCAGTTGGATCTTGCAGATCCGCGAGCCGTCACCGATCCCAAACCCGCGATGGTGGACCCGTGGGTACCCCTCGGAATCCACATTTTTTGCGGGAATGAGGTGTGATCTAGGTACCTAGTGGCACGTTTTTGGTTGGTTGGTTTTTCGTTGTGGGGTCCAGTGTATTTTCGGAAGTGGCTGCTGTGCCCACCAGGCCAGTCTTTTGTGCATTGGTGCGTGTTGTTCCAATTATGCAGGACGTCTGGCAGGGTTTGGCCGCTTTCTGTCGGGTTTTTTAGGAAACATCAGCCGGGTCAGACATGCCTCACGAAAGGTTTTCTTCTCATTTTTATTTTCATTGTTCCTCCGCCTTTCCTTCTGCGGTGCGGAAACGGCTAATCATCGCATCCGTCGTGCTGGGTTTGTGTCGTTCTTTCTCTTTTTCTTTTATGTAGCTCAATGTTTGTGCGGTTCATCGAGCTTCCTAGCCCCGTTGGTCTGTTGTTTCTAGTCTCTCTGGGAGTGTTAAGCGGGATCATGGACGCCAAGGGCGGTCAAAATTGTTGTTGCGAAATGGGGTGCGTTTGTTTGTTTCCGGTGTGCACAGGGTTGGTCGCGGTTAGTTTCCTGCGAGATGTGTATCATGTGCAAAATACAACCATTTTCCTTCCTATTCCTTCCTTTTGTGCTGGTTGCCGCCGCCGAACGTATCTTGTGCAAACTAAGCCAACCAGAATCGGATGTTGGATGAGTGCGCAGAAACAAAGTCAGGGTAAAATCCCGTGCAACACCACGAACAACCGTTGCCACCCACACCACTGTTGTGGTAGTGTTAAGGTCTTGTTGCGGCTGCATCATGGGTGTGCATGCCTTTGTCTGGTGTCATGGAAACTGAAAGCATGCTCCTTTTCCAATTTCCCAGGCTGTGAAGAGAAATTTGTCAAAATTGTCTGTAGAAAGGTCCTGGAAAAAATATTCAAGTATCACATTGCGATATAAACGTGTCTATATGTCAGTCGATGTATGTGCCGTGGAAGCAAGCGGCTTGGCGGTGACGAAGCGAGAGTGAACAAAAAAGGAACAGCACCAGGGCTTCCCACGTGGTCCCCCACCGTAGAACTAGCGTGGCCCGACGCCGCTTAACTTCACCGAGCGGGCGGGATGTGGTGCGATCGGCGCGATATGGCCGTTCCTGTTGAGTGAGGCGGAACTGTTGCTAGTAGCCTGTTGCTGTCAAGATAATATTATAGCATGTTATTCGTGGGCGAGGCGACGATGATGACAGCTGTTGTAGCACCAACCCAAGGGAGCAAACGGACCATGAGGGTTGTGGTGATGGTGATGGGGATGATGACCAATCTCAATGGCTGTAGCTGGATGGTGTTGACTGGATGGTGTTGATTTGATGCGCATGGCGATGAAGGTGATGATGGTGATGTTGGAGTCGTGGATCCGACATGAACGAATCAAGTCAGGTGTAGTCTAATCAGTCTGTTAGTGGAGATGGGTCAGCGAAGATCAAGTCTCGATTGTTCGTTGGCGTCTAGGCATACTTGAGTGCCTGCCTCAGGATGATCATCCACTTGTAACTGCGACGTTGTTTCTCGCGTTTTCTGTTTTCGCCCGCCCACCGTGCTGATTGCATGACACCAGTTCCATAGCCCTCCCGTCGGGCCAATCGGAGCGTCGATCCAGCTGAAGGAGGAGTACAAGGGGTTCCGTGTGTGCATCGAGGGCCACCTCTCCAGGCACCTCAACAACTTTGTCGTGTCGTGTCACCAGTAAGACCCAACTACAACTATTCTAGTCATCTTTGTCTCTTGTTTCTTTGCACAATTTCCGCAGAAGGGTACGGCCCACGGGTTGGTTTACTGAAGCGGTCGGCCTTTTGTGGATGAAGGGAGAAAACATTTATATATATATGTAATACCAGGCTACGAACCACCTTGTGTACGACGTTCGGCCTAGCAGTCCACCTGTACTCTTGTGTATCGGATGTATACAATACAACGCGGTCGTGCCCTCATGATTACGTCTTGATTCACCGAGATCCGTTAGCGGTCGACCTTTGTATATATATGATTGCGTGTTGGACGGCTGTTATGCTGGATGTGTCCGGGCACGATTCAACGTCCGAGGACTATGCTGAACGGGTGTCTCGCCATCTCCGCACCCTCTCCTCGTTTGTATGACGCTGTTTCCTTTCTGTCGGCGACCCTCTCAGGGATAGGGCTACGCTCATGAGGATAATACGGGCCTTCAGAGGCAACCAGAGATGGTTTGTCCCCACCATCATCGTGCAAACGCTGCAGCCGCGGTACAGACCGCAGTCCAACCCTCCAGGTTTCCTACAGATAATGCAGGCCATCAACGTCGACAACGACCAGGTGGGCGGGAAACTATAGCAGAGGCGGTGGAAGTGGCGTCGGTGGTGGTGATCTTGAGGGCATTGTAGCGCTGTTGATGATCGTAACCCGGCGGGCTTCTTACAGACAGTGCAGGCTATTGCCGCTAGAACGGTTGTGCCCCATGAGATAGTGAGGGGAGTGTTTGCCTCGAGGCCATGGTCGTTAAATGCTTGTTGACGACGTATTGCTCTGCTCGTGTGGTCGGACGTACGTGAGGATTATTATTTTGATTTGATTTGACTTGGACAGCCAAGTCGGCCCCGCCACAGCCGCTGCTTTTGTTGCTCACGGCGTTCACTTTGTTGGGTTGGTGATTTGATGTAACCTTTGGTTCTACAGGTGGGTGCCCCTTGGAAGGCACTCACGTCCGGCCTATTCGCCACCCCGTGGACTAACATCTGTCGGCAAGACCTGCCCTTTTCCACAATGCCGAAAGCTTAATAGCCTTGCAGTAGCGTATCGGCACGTTGTGTAGTTGATGTTACCATCGACGGCGCCAACCGGGTAGCCAATGAATAATCGTCAGTCTCCGTGCGGCTGAAAACAAAAAATGCTTCTAAAGGCCATGATCTGGGACCACGTTGTGTGTGTGCGTGTGGATCGATATTTATCGTGCACCCCATGCATGCCGCAGGCGTTCAACTCCCTGGTGGACCAGTGCTCCATCGAGAAGAACTGCCTGTTCGCATCTAAGGAAGAGGCGGAGAAGGCATGCCTGAGGGGACGGTCCGGCACCTACGAGGTGAAAGTTCGCTTCTTGTCTGTCAGTGGTGCTGTCCGGTGTGAAGAACCGGCCATGATGTGGCCCATCCGGGTGCTTTTGCCTGGTTCTGTAGATTTTTCTGCGTTAGCTGCGCGTGGTATATTTTTTGCGTATAGCTGCGCATTGCTTCCTTCCTCTCGATCGGGCTAGACGGATCACTGTAATGATCACCCGCCGTGTTCCGCTGTTACCGTACGCGATGTCAGCGATTGCCGTACGGCATGTACGAGGCGTACTACCCCAGCCTTGGTGGCAAGAGCTGCTCTAAGTTCACCGTGTCCGGCCGCAACTTGGAGACCCGCATGAACGTCGTCAACTCCAACAGACACAGGCGAGCCGGCGAGGGGGGGGGGGGGGGCTGGGGTACCCCTGGGGGGGGGGGGGGGGGGGGGTCCCTTTCTCCAAACCCCCCCCCACTTTGGAAAGGGGGAAACTAAACCCCCCAAACGTTTTTTGTTCCCCACCAACGGCCCCTTTTCACCCTGCCCCCTTTTTTTGGAAATAAAAGTTTTAATTTTCGGCCGCGGTTCCAGAAAAGTTTTTCCCAAAAAAGACGGGTTTTAAAAGGGACAAAGGGGTTTTCCCCGCCCTTAAAAAAACTGCTTTTTGGGGCCCCCCTTTCCCAAATTTTTTCCGAAAAAAAGGGTTTAAAAAGGGCTTGGTTTTTCCGCCCAACCTTTTTTTTTTACCCGGGCCCCTTTTTTTTTTTTCCAAAAGTTTTTTTAAAAAAAAGCCCCTGGAAACCCCCCAGCTCTTTTTTCTACCTTCTACCGGCCCCAAGGGGCCCAAGCGGGTCTTGGGGGGGGACCAAGGGACCCAAAAAGAGGAGGCCCCGGGCCCAATGGGGGAGGGCCCAAACCCCCCGGAAAAGGGAAAATCCGGGGCTGACCCCCCCACCAGGAACCCTAAACAAACCCAAAACCCCCCTCCCGAAGGAAGTTCCCCCCCCCCTGCCGGGCCCCTTTTGGGTAACGGAAACACTTAACCCTGGTGAATTTT